TTTGGGCGAAATCGTGAGGATAAATATTTACAAGGCCCCAGAATAACACATCCGTGAGTTGGAAGGTGATGTTTGGATCGAGCATACCCTGGATAGAACTGCGCCTAAAGACAGGATTCACTGTTTTCCCGTTATCGCTGTTTTAGGAGTAAGATAAAACATGGGGTATATAACAATGAACTGATGTTGGCGAAGGCAGCATCAGTTCAGTTTGTTAACCAACCGATTTATCTTGAACATATCCTTGTTTGAATGATTCTCTTTTAATAATTGGATAACTGTCCTTACTATTCAGTTTATGGGTTTCCTACATCACGAAATACTGACTTCCCATCGAATTATTTTGATGGCTTTTGTTTGGAAAATTCATGCACAGTTTAGTTCTCGTAACCCGAAGAAGATAAAACAGAACATCCGTGTGGGTCCACCGTATCTCTGATTCATATGTGCTTTGGATTGATAAAAGTGAAAAACGGTGTTCGGGTGTACTCAGGGCACAAACTACTTCCGTGGGGTTCCACCGACATTCGGAATGTTGAATTTGATCTCAGAATGATATGCATTGAACTGCTGTTAGTACTTTCTTTGACGTATTATCTACTGATCGTTCTGGATGAGACAAAACATTCGCTCACCACGTTGATATCGAACATGTCCCAAGAAAGACTGGAAAGTTGTCCAGAGCCAGTTATTGGTAGTGGTGTTAGTGTTGATGATGTTGGTGTCGGTGTTCGTGGTTTTGGTGGTGGCATTGTCATTGTTGGTAAAGCGGTTGAATTTTCTGTCACCGATCTGCATTGAACCCTATGATCCGGGGCTCAAACCACAGCATGACGGAAACTTATTGGTAGGCAGTTTCATGTTTGTCCCAGTCAATACCACACCCATGCTAGGGGAATGGCATGGCATTCCTGTTTTCCAGTTGAAGTCCCATGAGTGAGCAAAAGATCATCGTGATTGTGCGGTTAACGCTGTTTACTTTCATCATACAATAATGTGCTAAACAAAACAAAAATCAACGTTCTTCCCTGCACTCTTTCTTTGTCGTTACAAATACGTCTATCCCAAATGCAACGTAGTGGCCACCCATGACATAAGCGAACTCCAAAGGGGCGAAACTCTCGCGAACAAAAACATACAGAATGCATGTTCCTTGTGAAAGATCGAACAAGCAGACCAAAACAGAACATCCTGGTACCATCTCCATTATGTGTGAAATGGCCTTACTATATTCGTGCTATGAATGTAAACATATAATATCNCAACAAGCACCGCAGCGCATCGGTTTCGCAACCAACACACACACGTGCACATACAACCACATATCTATGATGGTCCGAGTGATATAAATCTCGGTTCATGTACCGCCCGGTTGGATGATACATTTCGTCTATGTCCCACTGGCACGAAATAACAAAATATTTTTCCCAATTTCGCATTTCTGATTCCCATCCAGTAGAGAGCAGAAACGCTCAAACGGCATGGAGCCATTGAAAAAGCGCACATACACAGTGTGATTTATTTGTGCTCTAATTGCTGTACCCCTCTCCTCACATCTTGCCGGTGGGTTTGCCCTTCATCGTAACTGAAAAATGAAAAACACGTAGTGCTGGATGTAATTTGAACACTTGGGGGAAAAGGGATAACGTTGAACGGAGGTTGAAGTGCCATGCTTGGAACTTCCATACACATCCGTCTCGAGTACTTTATCAGTTGGGGAATTTGCCGGCACAGGTTAGCCTATGTTGGTTGGTTATTGGAATTTTGTACCAATAAGAGAAAATATCTTGATGTGGCCGCTTTTGGCAGTCGGGTGGAAAGTTTTCGCAAGTATGATTTGCTACGTATGAAAATAGTTAAAAGTATATTTCATATTGAAAATCAGGTTTGGGCGTCCTTTTCTTTGCGTGTGTGTGAAGATAAAGCTTATGTTGTCATAATATATAAAAAGATCAGTTAATTTTTTCGGAGTCTAAAGATATTCTAGGAATTCTCTCTCATCTGCAATATCGTCGTTCTATGAAACGAAATAGGGATTGAGCTGCATGATTCACTAACCTAAAGGATGCAGTAAGGTACAGACATCCACAGAGTTACAGTTACGTTCGCTAAGCACTATTGCACTTACTTGGAAAACTGCCCACCTCTTTATTTGTTTCAAAGAGAATTTCGAAACATTGTTGTACAAGCTATTCAAGTCAAATTCTGTTCTTCAGGTTTCAATGATCAACTGTTGCGGTCTAATCCAGACACACTAAGACCGCAGTGCGATGTTTACGAAAATAGCTCAAAACAGGGGGTGCGACAAACGAGCACGAGAATTACTTGAGTGCGTGTCCGTGTCCCACGATGTCGACTGAAGGGCACAATCCATCTAACTACTTAAACCCATTGAAGTAGTCAGTTGTGGCTTTAAACGTATTCCCTATTTTGTACCGCTTAGGTTGTATCATACATCATCATTGGGTGTCGAACCGATAACCACTGCATTAGGAGATCCATTTACCTCATGAAATACACGCTTAATTATGAAGGGTATATAAAAAAACAGTGATGGCTTTACGAATAAGAGACTGTATCGTTTTCTTACCCGATCAAATCAAATAATAGCATCGAATGAATTAAATTTTAAACCGTCTTTTTTCTTGCACACACGGAACGGTTTTCGTAAGAGCAAACGAACGTGAAAGACTACATTTGACTGAGACTAAAATCAATCCTCATTCACCCTAAACAAGGGAACTTTTGGCAACAAATTAGCTAATATGCTCATTCAATTCATCGATGGTACTGATGATTCAAAAATGTACTGCATATCATCGCCAACCTCCAGTTCAAGATATGAGCCCACTATTTAAAATCAAATCCCAGTCAAATTACTCAACGCATAGTGTTTTCAACCTGCTTCACAGAATTTAATATATATATGTATCATATATATCATAATATATATATATATATATATCATACCGTATCAGCTGCAATATATTTGTGACATTACCCTCATCAGGATTTTGCTTCTATTAAATAAATAACCTAAACATGCGCAAAAACTCGAGCTCTTCGACAAGTTGTGGGTACATCGGTTGTAAGTTAGGCAAGCCTCGGCAAAAATATTATTAGAATTTGGTTTTAAAAACGACTCACAAGCATGCATTGTAATTTGTCAATACCCTGTTGCTTCTTTTGTTGTTTTGAGAAGTTAAGTTCGTAAATGTTGCATGGAGTCTCTCGAGTTGAGTAATAAACGGTAATCGGTAG